TGACTTAGATAATGTTCTGTATTGCATCTACGTATTTTGACAGTGAACCAGATCTATTTCAATCTTCTCTTCGATAAGCTGTAATTTTTTTTTTTTAATATTTCAAATCTGATTAAATGGTTAAATGGTTACTGTGAGAATTGAAAAACTAATTCTTGACTGATGCAGAGGAAAACTCTGTTTGTACACCCCTCTATTTCACCGACAATTCATTTAAAAATGCATAAATTTTGTTAGTTGTGTGTATATATACAATTGTGTGAAATGTGTATAAAAAATGTGTTCATCAAGCAAAACCCACTGCAGAGTGGTCTGTTATGATTTATGAATCCTGATGGGGGATAAAGCTATAAAATACCCAATTACCACCTTTGTTCTGAAAATAAAATGGAAATAGTTCTCTCTCATCTCAATTGATGGAAATGATGGTATTTTAAATGGATGAAAAAATGGTATTTTTTAATGGTTTTACATATATGGACGTTTTTACTTGAACTCTAATTTGATGGTTTTGTTTGTTTAAGTCTGGTCTGGGACTGAAAATAGTCCAAGTAAACACATCTACACGCATGATGAGTCTCTTTGGTTAAATTGGAAACGGTTGTTTATGTTGAAGTTGCTTAATCAGTCAAATTTGTTGATAATGTTATATTTCAATATAATCTATTCATAAAATAGAGAAAAATTATACTCCATATGAAAGAATAATAAAAATGATCGTCTAAAATTACTTCTGTCAACATAGTAAAAAGAAAAGTAAATCTAATGTTACTTATTTAGATGATCACACACTTCAACACACAAAATTAAATGTTGAGTGTTTGGTAAAAGAGTTTGCTAAAGAGATAAGTTTAAAATATAGATTATTGGGAAAATACGGAAAAGATACTTGCGGTTAGACCCGTTTTCAGATTGAGTCATGTGTTTCATTTTTTATTAAAGCGGTTCATGTGTTCGAATTCCATTTCATAACAGGGTCACACCTTAAAAACGTCTGAGAAAGATGGTTGGAAAAATTTGAATTATTTTTTAAAAATGATTTCACATTTGAATTATTTTTTAAAAATGATTTCACAAATATCACTTTTCGATGGACTTTCCGGTGACAAGGGTGCGGGAAACAAAAAAGAAAGATGGCCTAGCAGTCGTCTTGTTGAGGCACACTTTTCAGTATTTTTCTTTTAATTTTTCGGGCACTTTTGAAAATCTGGGTTACTATTAACCGTCTTTCACAGACGTTTTTAACGGTATGACCCTCTTGTGATAACGGAATTCAAACACATGAACAACTTTGATAAAAATTGAAACACATGATCTTATCTGAAAACGGGCACAACCACAAGTACTTTTTCCGTACTTTTTTCCAAGTGGAATGCTATGGGCAAGAATGGGAAGTTGACTATTATTTCTTATCCTTCTATCCAAGATCTTATCACTCAATTTAAGGCAGATCATATGAGTTTAGACAAAATGATGAAACCTCAGACTTCTGCTCAGAGTGTTGTTTTTTCTTCATCTACGGCTTCAGTGATTTCTCCGGATTTAATTGAACAAAGTGATTTAATTGAGATCACCGAATATTGTTCTTTCACTACTGTCATCGCTCAGCGTAACAAGAAAAAACTTGGTATTCAGACTTCCTCTATGCAAACTAGGTTGCGTTTGAAAGCTTAATCTCTAGCTTAGTTTGCTTTCCTCCGTTAGTTTTCTTTATTGCTTTTGCTTTCTTCTTTCACTAGTGCATGTATCACTTTCATTCTTTTTAATAAAACTTGTCTCTTTCTAGCAAAAAAAAAGGATTTATAACGGAATCGCATATTTGATTGGTCAAGTAGTTTAACTCGTGGAAAAGCATATTGTAATTGGTTCATTTAATATCTCACCACTTGTAATTGGTGGTATCGCCATGGAATTGAAACTCAAATACAGTGCAGTACTTGAAGGAACATGGTTTAGTAACTTACTAACTTAGTTGGACATATATATACATTAATTGAGATCAAACGAGTAACCGGGGCGGAGCCAGGACATTAGGCCGAAACAACGAATATTTTTTAAAAAAATTTACACAAAATTTCTTACACTAAGAAGCTGTTATATTCATCTTATTCTTATTACTTATTGCTTATTCTTATTTTATTCAAATCAGATCAGATCAGAAAAATTCAGATCAGAAACATTCAGATCAGAAAGATTCAGATCAGATCAGACGCATTCATAGCAATTTGGAAACATTCTATTATTATCGATTATATTATTATTATTATTATTATTATTATTACTATTACTATTATTACTATTACTATTACTACTATCATCATCATCTTTATCATCATTATTACCATTATTATCATTATTATTATTATTATTGTTATTATTGTTATTATTATTATTGAATAATTATAATTATAATAATAATAGTTATTATTATTATTTTATTATTATAATTATTATTGATATTATTATTATCATAATAATAATAGTAATAATATACCAGTTCAGAAAGTTAAGATCAGATCAGAAGAATTTAGATCAGATCAGATCTTAAAAAATTCAGATCGGAAACATTTAGATCAGACAAAGAGAACAACTTCTAAAACTACAGACATTTTTTAAATTTGGGCTGGGTCGGGGCCAGGGTTGGCCCCTCCCTAACTATGCCCCTGCGAGTAACTCGCACATGGTAAGTCTAAAAAGTGAAGATGGACTTCAAGAACGGTTAATAAGTAGTATGGGTGGACTAGTCGAGATCTAGTTGTAACTAGAATCGGTAGGGTCCTGACTCCTGAAACCGGTTTGCCTAGTGCGGTAAGGAGACCGACCCGGAAGCCGCCAGTCAGGTCCCACACATGTTCTTTTGCATTTCAAGCATTAGAATTAGAATCATTTTAAAAGAAGAAATTCATTTAAAGGCTAAAAAGGGTAAGGAGGAAGGTTGGGAGGTTTAAAAAGGTATTCAAATTTTAAAAATTGGGATCGGGGCTTGGAATCAAAATAATTGGCGCCAGTCTCGGTTCAACGTATAACCCGCCGAAGACCGCCGTTCTAGGACTAAAACCAGCTCGGAAGCGGGATTTGTCCATGCTCACTAAGAAGCTTCTTCAATATAGGACACATTGCGATTCTATATTGAAAAAAATTAAAGATGTTATCATATCCGATTGTTTCACTCTCCGATCGGATCAGAAAATATTACATTAAACTAGACAAGACTAACTTAGAATATAGTAAAATGTACACAAAAAAAGACTTTTATTAGAACAATTGAGACTGGATCCGACCAGGACATATAACTCCACCAAAACTTGAAGATTAATTTTAAATTTAGAATAAAATATATTATCACTTCATTAACATATTTTCTAACTTTCAGTATACATTAATAATTTTGAATGCATAAATATAGAATAACTTGTCTTAGAAAAATATAGACTAATGCAAAAAAGGGCTCATTCACTCCACGCTCTATGAAAATTGAGAGCTCTTCGATTATCAATGTGGTGGACATACCTTGTGAGATTAATATCCCTCCCACTATTTTTATACTACTTTTCGTTTTAGTCTATTCCAATAATATACACCGTAGTATTTGTATTTTAATTTATTTTTATTCTAATTTATTTTTCTTTTATTTACACTTCTCTTCAATGATTAGTAACAATTACCTAACTTCACTTTAATGACTGCACCACTACCTCTTGTCTCAATTTTAGAGGGCGACAGAAGTAATATGTGATCAAAAAGTAAATGACCAGTAAGACAAGCTGAAAACATGTGTCACCAAACGACTCTACATTTACAATTTTTCTAAAAATAAATAGAAAAAAATCTATCATGTTCATCCCTTTGTATTTTTCTAAAATCTTACTCATATTAAGAGCCCGTTTGGTGAACTCCTTTTTCGGCTTATTAGGCTTATCAGCCACCTTTTTCACCAAACACGTAAATTTTGATTTCACGCGCTGAATTTTGTAATAAGCAGAAAAAGTAAGGTTGGAGTTACTTTTCTGGCTGTATCGGCTGAAGTTACTGTAGAGGACCATTTTAGCTATTTTTACATATAATTTTTTCTTTATTTTATTAATAAAATATATTTTAAATTCAATTTTTTCATGAATTAGCAAAATCAGCCAATACAGCCACTTCAGCCAGAACTTCATAAATTTCAGCAGAATCAACCGATTCATCCGATTTCAGTGTTACCAAACGGGCTCTAAGCTTATGAACAAAAATGTACGAAGTTATTAAAGATAACATGAGTATAACATCCTGATCATTGTGTAAATCCTTATAATAACTAAAAGTTACTTCCTCCATCCCTTAAAATTTCGTCAAGTTTGACCGATACAGAAATTAAAAAAATAAAAACAATGTGTTTGACGTTCGTGCAAGGGAAAAGAATTAACTTCAACAACAACAATAACATTCAAGCCTTAATTCCAAAAGAATTTGGAATCGGCTAACATGAATCGATCTATGATATCGATGCCAAACAGAGAAGACGTGCAAGAAAGGGAAGAACAAAAGTAAGATAAAACGAATAAAATAAAGATATATAAATGTAAGATAACAATAACACAAGAATATAAGAAAGATAAAAGTTAAAAAAATAAAAGACCATAAAAAGCTAGAAGATAACAATAACATAAGAATATAAAAAGATAAAAAATATAAACGATAAAAGAAAAAAGAGAGGAAAGGTAGAAAAGACATAAATCGTTCACACGGATGTGCGCCCTCCACTTTGTTCTTTCCAAAGTCATACTCTCGTTCAACCCAAGAAGACACATATCGGTTCTGATTCATCTAATTCAAGTCTGTTTGGATCTTCTTTTCTCTCTCTCCTCTGCCTCTTCTCTCTACCCCTCAAGTCGTCTAATATGTGTATTACTCGGTCTTCAAAAATTAATTTAATTGAAATCACAAATTCTTCTCTTAGAGAGAAAGCTGAAAATTATTGAAAATCTAAAAAAGAAAGCCGATAAAGTTTGAGGAGAGTACTAATTAGTCCTCTTACACATACATGTTTAATGGTTGCTGCAGACGTTTCGTTCAAAATCTTCAAATTTGAATGTGAGAGCGAACAAATTAACATAATAATCCCGCGCGACAAACAGTTCGGTGTGCACCTTTGCCTTTTGCTTTTCGCAGTTTGCAAGCTTTCATGAAAAAATGGCCTCGTCTTTCAAGTACCCAGACATCACCCGGTCAGAGATCATCGGATATCTAGCTCATTTCGGGTTCGCCAGCAACGTCACGGAGCAGGACCTTCTCAATCCAACTCGTGAACTCGTCGAAAATATCTACACTCACCTTCTCAACTACTTAGACTTGATCCAGTAAACCCTCCATCCGTTTCCCCCACTCCAGTGAAGTTAATAGTCAATTTTAATTTGGGAGCAATTCTTGAACTTTTGTGTTTGGATGCGTTTAGGGAGGATGATGAGCAGGCGGATTTTGCGGCCTTGGAGGTGTTCCACAACCCGGATCTCCATGTTTCTACGGTTCCTGTCATGAATTTACTTCACAAGATGAGAGGGTTATTGGCTGCTATCGATTGCCCCGGCCAGTTCACTCTCTGGGATTTAATCAAGCCCGACCCTGATCGCACCAAGCTCTTTCTTGGTTCTCTTCTCAATTTCTGCACTCACAGGTAAATGAGAGTGCTGCAATTAGTTTCTTCTTCTTTACTCGAATAGAGTTTACATGTAATGAATAAATTTAAGCACCCTTGCTAATCTTCCGGGGATATATTCTCCTCATTTCAGAACCATCAAGATGGATGAACTGACATCACTAGCGGGTGAGTTGGATGTTTTTGTGGAGCAAAAACAAGCCCTAGAGGAAAAACTATCTCAGGTATATGAGCATATCTTACTATAAAGCTATATTGAAGAATGTGGGACAATCCCAAGGATTATGTGAATTCACTAATCCACCCTGCAGCTGAACGCAGAGATTACTCAATGCAATGAATTAAGAGCAAGGGAAGCACTCCTTGTGCAAGAAGAAGAAGCTAAAGTTAAGGAATTGAAGCAGACTATCGCTGGCCTCAACAACCATCAGGTGTCCTTAAAGTCTGAAACAAGAAAGATGAAGGAGAGGGCACAAGAGTTGGACGAGCTGGTTTGCATTTCAATCCATATTCCTATATTTCGGTACTTAGACCCCCCATTTTGATAGGGTTTCAGATATTTTGTGCATGATTAAATGTGATGCTTCCACCACAACTCTGCCACACCTTAACCCAACTAATAAAAATGGAAATAGTTGTTGTAATTTTTATTTAAGCTCCCGTTAATGCTAAATTGGACAGAACACCTTGTAGTAACTTATCTGAGTGGTCACTATAGTCTGCCCCCAAGCCCTACTATGACTTTAGTGAGGTACCAGACCTTCTACCCAAGGAGTATGTAGATCGTAGATCTTAGCCCTAACATGGTCGTACCATTTTTATCATCCAGGTTAAGTATTCTGGTTATCGCCTATTGTTTATAGTTTTACTTACTATATTTCATTACCTGATTGTGTCTTGTTTTGATCTACTAGACTTCCAATGTGGAGTTTGAACTGGTACAAAGTGCTCAAGAAAATGCCCATTTACGGTATAAAATTGTTCAATCTCCAGACAAGCTTCAGGTACCAAGAATTTTTTTAATCCAAATTTGTTGTTGAAAGATATCAGATACCAATTAGGTCTCATAGACAGTATGTACTCGATGCTCATGCTTTTGCTTGCAGTGTAATACTTAATGCCATAACCGCATAACATATGCTGATTGTTTAATATTTAGAAGAGACAAAAGTGTTAATTTAAGCATCCTGCATCATCATGCTCATTTATAAGATTGAATGAAATTCTTTGTGATAAGTCCCAACTAAAATAACAATCTTTTTAGCATAAGGTTCCCATGAATTTGACTAACCTGGATAAAAGTGAGATTTTGTTTTCAATGTTAAAGGCTTGTTTGAGATCATATATGTATTTCGGTGTTTATTTTGAGAAATCATAGCTAATCATGAGTCATTACTATTTATATGTTTCTCGATTTTGCATGCAAAGTTGTCTGTAATGTCTAATTATCATGTAGTACCTGGTAATCCTGGTCATCATCATCATTATCATTACCCCAGTGCCGCAAAGGCTCCCACCTACGGTGGGGTAAGGGGGGTCGGATGTACGCAGTCTTACCCCTGTACGAAAGCATAGAGAGACTGTTTCCGAATGACCCGTAGTGAAAATTGCGTCGAAAATTGCATAGGCTGACTGTTACTTCATAACAAAGAAGCACAGACAGTTTAGTAAGCCATTTTGCTTTATTCCATCATATTCCCAAGCTCATATTTCTTCATTAATCCTGGTATCATTAAATATTTCTTCATTTGTTTTTGAGTTTTGACCAAAAAAAACTTCACTTCACAAACTCATAGCGGGCGCTAGAGGAAAAAAAATCTCATCAAGTTGAGGCAAAGAATACAGAAAGGGCAGCAATGCAAGCCTTTCAGGATAAGAATGCCACTCTTGAGTTGTATACAAAGGTATGCTATGCAGTCATTCTTGTACTTTTTTGGAAAATTTTGTTTTTTGGTCTCCCACATTTCACATTAATCTAAATTGTTCAAAATGCCACTACGCACAAGTAGTGTGGAATTGCATAAATGTTGGCAATGTGCTTGGACTTTGGGAGTAAATGCAGTTATGCAGAATGTTTTTGTATTAGATGGCTAAAATGGAAGAAACAAGAGTTGTAGAAATGCCAACTAGTAAGTAATAGGACCAAAGGTGTAATTTAGTCCATTTCTCAGTGTCTATTCTTTTTGAAGAAATAAGTTCGAAGTATTTTTAATCTTCCAACTTGCAACTGTTTGTGTTTAACGTGGAGATTCTATATTTACTTTGGTTGTACTTGCCCTGTGCTTCATAGTATTTTTATACCTCTCAAATTTCCCCTTACAATATCAGGCTCTGAAGAAAATGTCTAAAAGCTTGGAGCAGATGAAGGCTATACAAGAGCAGGTCTGTTGGCATCATTTTGTCTTCCTTCCTGTTCCATTTTAATGTTTTCATTATACAGAGTAATGGAGTATATATAATCTAGTTGATATTTATTCATTTAGGGGTGTGCTCGCATTTTTACTTAATATGAAAGAGTGCTTACTTGGAACAATAGTGTGATCTTGGCATGTCATTGCATTTTTAACCAATCTGTGCACGCGCACACATAAAACAAAATGCACTGATAAAGTGATAAATCATTCTCTTCCCTCGAGGCCCGTTTGGAATCTTGAAAATGGTAGTGAAACTGTGAAAGAAAAAAAGGACGAAAGCGGAGAGGAAAAAATTAGAAGGGAAGAAATATTGAGAAGATGAAAAAACAACTTCAATTTGCAATTTGTTTTCATTCCCTAGCATTTTCTGGTATCCATGCATACTCTTAACGGTTACACATCTGTATCGACTTAGGCAAATTCAGTTAAATCAGTAGAGAAGGAAATTAAGGCTCTCAAATGTAAGCTGGGTGAAGATGAAATGTTAGACAAATCACTTGACGCTAAACTGGTAGAAAAGCAAGGGAAAGGTAGTGTACCGGTCCACTCTTCGAATAATTATTTTTCCTAGCATTCATTTTGAGATATTATTTATTTTGAGACAGCGGACCAACTGGATGAAATGAAAAAGAAAGTAGAGATAGAATGCATACTCGCTCGTGAAGAGGCAACAAAAGAGCTAAACAATGTGAAGTCTCAAGTTGAATCAACAAGGAATGGTCTTCTGTTGCGGAAAAAGCAGGTTGAAACGGTCATTGCTGAGGTACTCATTCGTTGTTTGGCTAACAAAATAACTGCATCTAGTTTATATAATTGTAGAATGTACATTTACATAAAGTGACATGAATTTGAAGGGTCACTGAAATTTTAACCTTTTCCAAATTAGGGGGATGCTGTTAATGCAAAGATTATTTCGGTAGGAGAGAATGCAGAATCCCAATGCCAACAGTTAAAACTTAAACATGAGGAGGTTGCCAAAGAGGTATATATTCAATACTATCAACAAAATGCGTTCGGAAAAGAAATTGTTAATACATGCTTGTTTTAATCCATCTACTATGCCTTTTGTTTTCAATTCGTTCCACAACTTTCTGGTTTGAACATTTCTGGTGTGATTTGAACTTTTCTGGGCTGGTTTCGTTTGATCTGAATGTTTCTATCTTGTCTAGTTATCTTGTCGGTTTTTATATCTGCTCTTATTCATTCTCGTATGATTTGAATGTGTATGGTTTGATTCTCCAGTCTTATTGGATTAAAATCAAGAAAACATATTATGTATGAACCAGCGGGCACAATTTACTGCATTTTCTGTAGTTTTGCGTTCTATTCTGTATGCGATTGTTAATTTGTCATGAACTGTGTTATGATGCTTGCAGTTTATGATGTACTCTAACAAAGTTGGCGACGTGTTGAAGCGCTATAGAGTGGACCCACCCACCCAGCAGTAATTCACACTGCAACTGATTGCCCAAAAGAGAATTGCTCGCGTCTCCCATAAGTTCACTGTAACCATAACTTCATAACTTAAAGAACAGTTAGAACACATTCACAAAGTTTTACCACAAAATTTCAATCAAAAGCATCTTAAATGGAGGTAGCCGCATGGAGGATCCTGTCAAGACGGTCTGAATGGATCATTCTCCTATATATAACGATTAGTACGTAATTGATCATTCAATTTCAATTAGAAGATTGTACTTTATTATTGAGTAGATGTGAGTGAATCATACGCAATCTCTTTCCTTGAAACTTAGAAACTCTTCAATTATACTTTGATTCATGAACCTATAAAATCTTCAAAATGTATTTTATCAACCGGCCTTTGTTTATTCGTTTTTATTTTTTTTTATTGTATAAAAAACGTCCTTTATGAATCCTTTATCTGATTGATTCAATTCATTTAAATGTCACTTTAATTTTATATGCAATTAGTTAATATATGTTGGAATATAATTATGTAGTACTACCTTCGTCCCAAATTGTTTTGCAAAGTAAACACTTTTTGGTTAACCAATGTTAAAGTTAAATTTGTCTTATTGGCAATTAATTCAATCTTAATAATTAAAATTTACAGATTCAAAAATTGCATTAACTTCTCTATAAAGTTGCAAAACTTAATTAAAATTTAATTAAGAATTGATAACCTATTTAAGTGAATAAAATTAGTTTGTTTGACCAAAATCAATTTGTGCAATTCAATTTTGGACGGATGGAGTATTTCACATCTCACTTAGTTGTCAATCGAGTGAATAGTGAGCGTAACACTTATAGAATTTTTTATTGTAATGGTTTCGCTATGTGTGTAAGAGATCAAATGATGCATTAGCTAGATGAATTGACGGACAAGGAGAGAAGAGGTAGAGAACGCTCTAGACAGACTTAGACTAGAATAAAAATAATGATATGATACTTTTTTGGTTGGATAGGAGTGTATGACTATTGAGAGGGCAAACTAGAAAGAAAATGTGAGGCTTTGCCATGAATATTACTAAAAATGACATTTTCTTTTAAATTTCCAAAAATGTGACAAAAATGGTAAGGGGCCATTCTACCCTTTTTAAACCAACCAACATGCTACACTGACCAAATGACAGTGATTTTCTTCTATTGACCGATTGACACAGTGACCAACGTTACAGGGACTAACGTCACAGTGACCAACACCTCGATTATAGTGACCACCACCTCCCTGCCACATTGACCAATTTTTAGTCAGTGACCACCGCAAATTAATGGCTATGGACAACCCAATTACAGTTACCATGCATGCACCGGGCACAATGACAACTACTTCGACAACATACAGACTTATTTTTTCCTGTTAGCCACCCGTGACCTGTCATTGGCGACACTGAACCCCCCCTTCCGTGAAGGTCTACGATCTGTAATCCCATCAGAACACTGCCCAAATCCATGACAGTACCCCTCCCTACGCCCCTCCCTGACCCCCACATCAATACCTACCTAGACATTGCCCCTGACACCCTTCAACCACTGGCACCGCCACTTCCCTACCTAGTCCCTTGCTTCCGTTCCCTAGTCTCACCTAGGGATGGACTCGGGCCGGGTCAACCGGCCCGGCCCGATACTGTTTCGGCCAGGTACCTGAGGTCCAGGCCCGGTCCTGTACACAAGGGCCGTATTATTTCGGGGCGGGCTCCGGGTCTCCAAAAACTGAACCGGTCCGGCCAGGGCCAATTTTTTTTCAAATTCTTTGGGAGGTAAATGGGTTGGGCTGGGTGTTTTGGAGGGGTTTGGGTGTGGGGGGGGGGGGGGTAGGAAGTAATTAGGAAATAAAAAAAAGTTACCCGGCCTGACTCGGACCCGATAGCTACCCGGGCCGGTTCTGGGTCTCAACATACCAAAAAAAAAACCGATCGGGCCACTCGGGCCCGCCCTGGACAGGCCCGAGTCCATCCCTAGTCCCACCACTTACCCGTAGCCCATTTCCCCTGCACGCATATATAGCTCCCCTTCCAATCCTAGCCTCCGTCATCGTTACCAACGTGTAATCGACCACCGCCAGTAAGCGTAATAGGCAAATCAACCACGACATTAGCTTGGAGAACATCATCACTCTACCGAAGAATACGACTGATGTCGCACAGATGCTTCACATCAATCGCCGACCATTTAGATCCGATCTTCGACAATGACGTTCTGCGAGGAGAATTTTGCTCTGTGTACACGCCCGATTACACGTCCGAGTGTAATTGTCGGTGCACAGACAATTACACGTGGGTTTAGTAAAGTGTCTATGATCCGAATTGTCTGTGCACACAATTCACTTTTTGGAGTCAGAGACGCTTCCCTTCAATAAAACTCAAGTGTAATTGTTTGTGCACAGACAACTACACTTGGACGTGTAAGCCAACGAGTACCAGAGCATGTACACGAAGCAAATTCACGCGGGAAAGAATGGAGAGGAAGAAGACGTGAGATTAGGGATGGACCCGGGCCGGTTCGGTTCCGGTTCCGGGCCGGGGCCGGGCGGCCTTTTTTTGCAAAATGTTGGGCCTAGCCCGGGTTGATACCGGGTCCGGGCCTAACCGGGCCGGGGCCGGGTCAAGTTCAATTTTTTTTTGGGTTTCTAATTAACACCCGACCCCCCCCCCCCCTTCACCCCCACCCCCCAAACCCCCCCAAAACACCCAACCCTAACCTTGAAAAGCAAAAAAAAATTGGAAAAAAAAAATTGAACCGGGCCCGGCCCGAACCGCTCGGGCCGGTTCACCAAAAGTTGGGCCCGAGCCCGGCCCGGCCGACCCGCTCAAACGGGCTAAAAGCCCGGAACCGGCCAACCGGTCCCGATCCGGTCCGGGCCCAAACAGTAAGGGCCGGTTCCGGGTCAGGCCGGCCCGATTTAGTCCATCCCTACGTGAGATGACAGATGCAACAATCGGATCAAGCATGGAGGTAGTGAACGACAGAGGTGGCAAGTTGCTGAAGTGTGAGATGACAAAGGTGGCGAGCAGCGTGAAACTACAAAAGCGGCGAGCGGCTCATATCATGGGCCAATGTTGGCGTGACCACATGAGAGGTTGTTGTCCGCTTGAGGGGATGGAATCTAATGTTTGCGTGAGACGGTAAGCACCGATTGATGAAATGGGTAAGGGGCATTTCAAGATTTTCATACGTCCGTAGGCCAATTTTTCTATTCAATTTAAAACCTACTCCTATTTTATTTGTGTCAGTCTTTCATCTGTATTTGTGTCCATTTTATTGTTTAGAACTCTGATTTCATCTCCATCCAAATTAGCCGGCCCCGAACTCTTTTGGGAGTTTTGAATATATTCAAATTCCACCATCATTGCTTACTCAAATAAACTGATTTTTAAGGATCATTGTTGCCACATGACAAACTTAAATAATCTCATAATCTATTAACTTCCAGTCAACAATGATCTTCATTTACTAAGATTTTTTATGGGACTATTAAATGCTCTCAGACCAATTATATGGGTTTACTCGTTGCCCATCAAGTAGTAATACATACTCCCCCCGTCCCATATTTATCTCCTGAAGTACAAATGGCACACAGGTTAAGATAATGAGAAATGTGTGGCGGGGAGTTTTGCAGAGGAAGAAATGTGTAAGAATATGTGAGAATGATTGTGAACCACAAATTCTTTGCTAAAAAGGGAAAGAAGAGATAAATTTGGGACAAACCGAAAAGGAAAGTACGAAGATAATTCCGGGACAGGAAGTACATCATAAATTTCAAAGCCTTGGAAAATGAAAAGTTGGAAATGGTCTCAAATTAATCTAGTTTTAAAATTTGATACTAGATTTTCTACCTAAATAATCTCACATAATAATCTCTATCTTCTCAATGATAGATCTCAATAAAGATCTTCCATATCATCAAATTGATCTCCAAATATCTCAACAATGAGTATGCCCTAAGCCATAGAAACAAAAATAGTTGAGTACAAGTTGTGGAAGAACTAAGCAAGATGCAACATAGTGACTCAGTGCATACAATTGTCATTAGCTAAAACCAGTTCAGGTGCCTGGGGCTTGACAGCAATGAGAGATTTCTTCAAGTATTGTAGGATGTGCCTTCCAAAAGTTTGTGTCAATAATGTTGGAATGTTCAACCGTAACTTTCTTGTGACAATTCGCCATTGCACTGTGTGGGCTTTCCTTCTGGAAAATCAAGGACAAACATAAACAAAGAACAGAAATTGTTCAATATAACACAATGTTGAAATAAGACATTATTCCCCCAATTTGACTAAATTGGAGAACTCATATTTTGAGAGTAAAAGAATGATAGTCCTATTTATGAACTTTATCTTGTGGAACTTTCTCAACATAGAAATGGAATCAGAACAAAACCAAATTAACATTCTAAAAGAGTGAAAACGGTATCGCTGTAAAGAAACAAAGATGCTGCAGTAAATGTTATTGCATTACCTTATTCCAGAACACGGAGGATCCAAAGCGGAAAATAGATGGTAAACTGTGGTAATCAATCCCAAATTGGGAAAGCAGTTCAATTTTTTCTGGAGTTTGAGTACCCTGCAAAAAAGCACATAATTGGTCGGTAGTGATGGTCTGTTTGAATAAAATAGAGAGGTGAGTTGGAGTCGATGTATGCGTCAGCTGTATGCAATTCTTTCACTAATTAGGATTGACCTCACCCTCCAAGGGTCTGTTAGAAACTCGGAAATCGCTAAGGAAGGAAAAAGGGATGTATATTCAAGCTCCTTTTCTACGAAAAAGGGAAATTTTATTGATAAATGAGCGAAAAAGATAACATAAAAAAGATAGAGAGGAAAATAAAAAAATAAAAATAACTAAAAGGAGAGTACAGATGAAAAACTCAACCCTAAGTATACATGTACAAAGACCCTCTTTAGAAGACATTGAGTTCCAAGAATTCATCAGAACTCTGCATGTTCAAACTCTTACTCCCTCCGTCCTGCTAACAATGGGACAAGAGGAAGTGACACGCAAATCAATAAAAAGTGGTTTATGTGGTTGATATTGAATTGATAAAGTAAGAATAAAGTAAGAATGATTTAGAGCCACACAAACTTTACCAAATTTGGTATGAGACAATCTTAGTGGGACGGACCGGTAAGGTAAAACAGGACAATCATAGCGGGACAGAAGTAGTAGTATTTTTTAGGAATTTTCCAAAGACACTTTTTTTCTCTTTCCCTACCATATTCTGAGTTTCAAACATAACCTTAAGGTTTTGCTCCCTAGTACCAAGTGATACATCTTAGGGATACCAGGATAGATCCTTAGAATATCCCCCCGGAGTACCCAAAAGAGCATTTTCTATACAAATATGCACAAGATATCAATTGTTGATGGAGTTCCAACACTATGAATATGAGGAATGTTCCACTGCAAATTTATAAGGGACATCCCTAAAAGACATTCCAATCATATGTCGCACATTGCACGCACCTTAAGGACATTTTGGGCCTCAGTTTTGGTTTTACCAGATTTGACAAGCATCCAAAAACAAGTGTTGTACTGATTGTTGATATGACCTGTATTTCCGCAAATAGATTATCACGAAAATGAGAAGTTATGGATAATAGTGCTATCACTGGAATTGAAGTGCATAAGTTTGTTTGAAGTTGTCAGAACAAACTCACAATCAACTTGTCTCCAAGCTAAATAATCTCGAAGAATCTTAGAGGATGGATAGCATACAGAACGTCCGTCAAAGTATGGTGGATACTTCAAGTCTTTTTGGGGGAAAAACTCCTTCCATTTCATCAAATATACGGATGAGAAGAGAGAGACAACAGCAGAGACTATTTCACTGCACACATGATAAAAGTATTTATCCTCACAGAAAGTTGACCTAAAATGGCGACAATGTAAAGAAGACAACCATCCTTGCATAATAAAGTTATATCCTGAAAAACTTTAAGTTAACCCAAAAGAAAATTAAACATCTACCACAAGCAACATGAGGAAGATTAAAGGACTGTTTACAATTGCTTAAAAACACTTTTCTACCTTTTCTTAAAAAAGCAGATTAAAGCTATTACACAAAAAACTGTGTAATAGCATGGGTGGCATAAAACTGTCTCACTTTTTCAGTTTTCTATTACACAAAAAAGTACTTTTCCAACAAGCATTCTAACTTTTACTCTTTTTAAATCACTTTGCTTTTCAAACACCCAATTTTACTACTAATCACATGATATTATCTTTAAAGCAAATCACTTCTCAAAAATAGAAGCAAATACATAACTCCTTAAGATTCTTCCAAGCTAAAGAAATTCTAGAAAGGAGTTGCCAGTAATTCTTGTTAGAAGCAAGAGTCTGAGAAAGGAAAGTGATTTGCCTGACTGAACAAATTCTACATTTCCATATCTAAAGGCATACTCCATCACCAATGGCCATAAGGCATAGGTGATACAGTGTATGCATGTACATGCACAACCAATATTCTTCACATTACTAGGAAACTGAGTAGTTTAAGAAGCTAAAACCAGAAAATGAATCATAGATAACTAAGAATGGAATCGATCATCAATTGACTAATGAATTATTACTAGAAGTCACTGTTCTAAAAAATGCTCTAGGCGCACGATTAGTCCCTGCCTAGGCGATAGGCCGTGGCCGGGCACCCCGATTTAGTCTAGGCACCCCAACTAATTGGTTTGGCACCTAGGTAAATTAGTCGGATGCCTAGGGCACCTAATTGCCCGCCTAGAGTGTGCTTAATCGGCCACCTGGGGCGTCTAGATTCGCCGAACATTTTTTTGCTTTTTTATTTGAATTTTCTAAGAGATGTATGTACTTTTAACTTTAATAACACATATGAAGAAAGCTATTAGTTGTACATTGAGATAAAAACTATACGCATTTGTATATAACCTTAAATGTTGTTACTATTATTCAATACTCATAATATTTATTACATATTGAAGTTAAATGAGTAGGTATAATATATTATTAAATGTGACCACTATATCATTTATGCATGTTAATGTGTATGTGTGTGTATATTTTTTATAACATACAAACACAACATTACTAATCATATTTATGCAAAAACATTGACTAAACTATAATTTCTATATCTCCAACTAGTCCCCGTCTAGGCGCCCGTCTAGCCGCCTAGGCGCTAGGCGTTGGGCTGGCGCCCGACTAGCGCCTAACGCCTTTTAGAACATTGCTAGAAGTATTACTGAATCTAAAGGAAAACAAAACAGATAACCCAATAGATCACAAGAGCAGTATAGGTTCTTTCTGTAATCCTGACATTTATCAAATTGCTAATTTTCAATTTAAGCCCTTCTTTCACCATTAAGAACTGCGCTGCAACATCCAGCACACTATAACAAAGATTTGTCCAAATTATACAACATCCTTTTCCAGCTCAAATGGGTCCATTTCTTGGGAAACTAATCAGCTGTGACACTGATAGGAACCTCAACAAAGCAGCAGAAATTTAAGGTTGAATTGATATAAATCTCAGGAACCGACCCTCCGAGTACAATGGCGCATAAAAGTAAACCCACGTGCAATAGCGGAAAACAGAAACTAGAAGAGAAGGTAGGTTTGAGACTCTTCGAGAGGCCTCTCTCTCCTAGCCTAATTCCTACTGAAATTCTGCCTAACTTCTTATTCCTCCCTTCCCTTCTATTTATACTACCCGTACAAATTATATTATTTTTATTATTAGCACTAATCTGCCCGGTTCCTATCATATCACCCCCCTTAGACAACCACCTTGTCCTCAAGGTGGGTGATAGGAAACAAGCCTGGAATTCAGCTTCATCCTGGCGCATCTTCCTTCCCAGTACCTCCCTGATTGCTCGTGTATGAGCTTCATTACTTGACCTTTCATCTTCACTTCTTTCACCCTTGGATTCCACTCCATTGTAGTAAATCCTGCATCTCTCTTTGGAAGAATATCCTGATATCAGGATCAAAAGAAACTTGACTAACAGGCTAACAGCTTTGATGTCATCCAATGGTACATCCTTCAACAACAGTGCAAGCTTTCACAGATGCCCTGGTGAGAAATTTGTTCTTCATTTTCCAACTCAACTTGATATAGTCTCTGTCCCCCCTTCCATGTCTGGCTTGTTCCTGTGATTGCCCTACCCTTGTAATCAAATGTCACTTAGTCCCCCAAAGTATTGTGACTGAAATTGTTCCTCCATTTCAGGACTTCACTCCCATTCTGCGGTTTGCTCAGCATACCCCCCTTGTTTTCCCAGCCTCTTTTATCCCTGATAGTAGCATCTTTTTCTTCCAGAAGCATGGCCCTACCAATATTTTCCATCATTTGCAATGGAGCCAAAGATTCACTATTTTTTGGCTTGAGAATATGATGGAATAAAGCAAAATGGCTCACTAAACTGTCTGCGCTTCTTTGTTATGAAGCATCAGTCAGTCCATGCAATTTTGGACGCGTTTTTCACTATGGGTAATCCGGGAACAGTCTCTCTGTCCTTTGGGACAGGGTAAGACTGTGTACATCCGACCCCCCTTACCCCACCGCAGGTGGGGGCCTTTGTGGCACTGGGGTAAATGATGATGATGAAGCATGGCCCTACCAATGAAAATGTCCTTGAACATCTCTGAATCCTTGAATCTCATAGAAGCTACAACCAATTCATCTCTCTCTTCATCTTATGCCTTTCTGTTCAAGTATTTGTTAGAATTAGGGAATAGCAGGGACACATTGTCATTTCCGTGCTTGCCAATAATCAATATTCCAGTCTTAATAACGTTCTCAGGTGCCAAGTGATAAGTACAATATGATATATGCAAATCAATCTCCCTTCCTGAGCGGATATGACTTCTGTTAATGGACACCTCCTCCTCGTATGATGTCGCATGCGAACTGATGGTATCTCCTCTATCTAGAGTCATACTAGGGCTCACATAGGGATATCGCATGGGCCTCTGGGCTCGTCTTCAGTGGATGATGTCGCTGATACGTACTGCCCATGAGGGCATCCACAGCAAATTCTAATGACTGCTCGTTTAAAACTTCTAATTTCACAGTCAGGCCTTATTTTGAAGGATCTATGATAATGCTGATACCCTACATTAAATGTCAGATTCTTTTAGCCAGAAAAAAAACTGGTGGGAGCTTTATCCTTTACTACCATTAAACCCCATTAATTCCAGCATCACATTTTGGTGAAGTTAATAATAAATCATGCTAGGAATGCACAACTTCTTTTTTTGTAATAACATTAACAGATCCTTTAATCTTTAATATTAACAAAGACAAAAATATTTAATATTTCCAATTTTCCAATGAAGGTTGCAACAAGAAGAGCATCTACCGTACAACTTTGCCACTACTCTTTTGCAGGGATTAAGAGTGTTAATTAAATTGATTGACACTGTAAATATCATGCCACTGGCACCAATTAATAGGAATTAAGGTGATCATGATGAGGTGAGATGATGAAACAGTTACCTAGCACGCCTTTGGTAGAGTGAAGAGTCTTTATTCAGAACAAAACTGGAAACATTGAATCAAAATCTGTTACGGAAAAAAGGCATCACACAAGCACATAAAATATTATGCAGATGCTATTACCTGTACTCATCGCTCACCCCATATGCAAAGACAATGTCTCTGAACTCCTCCACCACAGCAACTGCACAAGAGTTCATAAGGTTCAGGGCTTGCTCATCATTTGGTTTCTCAAAACTATGAGCATCACAAAACCTATCAACCGTTTCAAAAGAAGTGTGAATTTATTTTGGAGTTGCTGCACAAATAAGCACTTTATGAAACACCTCTATTTATTAAACAAGCATTTCATGAAACACCTCCCATCACTACATATCACTTCAAATCTTGTCAAGCATAGAATATCTTGTGCTTGTTATTAAGCAAAGAGTTTCATTTCATGCTTAATTGCAAAAGCACGTCATAAAAATACTACGTCAAAACTACGTGAAAATCAATGTATGTCTTGATAAGTTTAATAAATTTGAGGGCAATTGATTAAAAGTTACTCTTTAGTCCTTTATTCACTAAATAGTTAGCCACCACACTTTCATTTGGACAATTGACAAAACCATGAACTCAATTTTAGTAATGAAAAGTTTAACATTAAAAAAATAGTTGATATTGTGAAATTAAATGACAGTTACTAATAGTCTTATCAATTGGAAACTCAAACATTTATAAGTTTATAAATGAAAAGGTAAATAAAAAAGTATTTGGAGTTCACCGCCTGAAAGTGATCAAAACAGAGCAGCAGGAGAAGTTTAAGGAATTTTAGAAAGTGAATTATACGGAGTTTTACCTATGGAAGTGGCAACCATCAATCCGGATGACAATCCAAGTAGATGGCATCAGCTTACTTTCATATTGGAAAGACTTGATATACTCGGACTTTAAATTATCAATGCCTTCTCCGAAAACCCCAACATCTTTATTTAGAGATTCCTGATTATTCCAGAAGTTCCCAGTAGCTATATTTTCTGAATGCACAATAACTACTTTCTTCCTCTTCCGTCTAACAGGAGTTAAATTTTCCAGGTACTTCACAATATCTTGAACCTGAATCATAAAGGATAAAGAATGAGTAAATGAGAATAGTAAAAAATGTGGAGTGAAAGGAAGTATGATGTCCTTCCCCCAAACAGTAAATTAAAAGCTTTCAATTAGAACTGGGGCTTACGCAACTATCATCACAAATTACATCTGATATTTGCACAATGTGATACTTACTATCTATCATAGACAAAATTCAATAGTATGCAATATACAACTCAAATGAAATGCTGGTCATATTTGAATAGTTCCACCCCCCAGAAAATTAGAAGCTTCCTATCAGAACTGGGAGGCGGGAGTTACACAAATATCATCACAAGTTAAATCCAAAATCCGCACAATGTGATACTTACTATATATAATAGAAAACCTTTGATAGTATGTCATATGCAAGTATGCAACCAGTATAAAAATTTGCTCAAATACGAAGTGCCACTACCCCCACCCAGGAAAAAAACTTTCAGGACAGTTTGAACATTTGAAGATCCAAAGGATGTCTCAGATACTTGATATGGGTACCTCTTTTCGGAGAATGCATGATCCTTGACGAAATATCTCAGGAACATCTTTTTTGTAGTTGATACCGAACTTTAGAAAAAGAAGGTCATTTTTCTCTTGCTTATGGGTCCCCTTCCAAAATAAAAAAGAAACCACTAATAGTGAATATAAATTAGGACTAAATCAACATGAACTCTCTACAACTAGATCAGCGATAAATGTGCAACACAAATATACTCTCAGTAAGTTGTATATAACGTATGAAGCAATTGATCCATGTACATAAAGGCCTTTATTGATGAAAATCTGGAACTATTATTAATGCCTATTCTAAGAGATACTGGTTCTCCAAGGTATGTCATTGACTCATTTCACAGCATTAAGGAAAGGACAAATAAGATAATGTCTAGGAACTTCAATGCCTGCATTATTTTAAGGAACATAAACTATCATCTCAAATATTATGTTGATGTTTGGATATTCACTGTAATAATTAGAAGACATTTCAAAAATCCTGGATGGAAATAAATATTGAGTTGTTTAACCATAATACTCTAGATCAACCTCAGAAATGCAATTAGAACTTTCTTGTTTAGCATAGTATGCTCCACAGTTTTATTTGAAAAAAAGAACGAAAAAAATCACTTACAAGTTATAACCAAGTAAAAAAATATCAGTATTCATGATTGAATATCGGTACTTTGAGTTTTAGAAGAAACATAGATCCTTTTTTTATTTTTGAGAAAAGATAATTAGTACCAATAGTTCATAACTTCTTACGCGCGCGCCCACACACACAATATATATAGAGGCCAGTTCATATCAGACTGGCCTGACGGAATTTGGCATCAGGCCAAGGCCATTTGGAGCCCTTTCTGGTGGATTTTTTTGAGTGCGTTCTTCATCAAGTCTAATTTATGCCCACCAAATTTCAGCTAAAAATTCAATCGGGAAGTCGGTCAAATGTGGAATTGAAAAAAAACTGCGTTCTTTATATATATAAAGCTGAAAGCTCAATGCTTGTAAATAATTTATTTAACTGCCTTCCAGATTGAATTTTAAGCTGAAATTTGGTGGGCATAAACTACACTTGATGAAGAACATGCTCAAAAAAATTCATCAAAAAATTCCACTGTGAAGGGCCCCAAATGGCCTCTGCCGGACGGCGAGTCCTGTCAGGCCGGCCTGACAAGACCGCTACTCTCTCTCTCTCTCTCTCTCTCTCTCTCTCTATATATATATATATATATATATATATATGTATATATATATATATATATATTCTGGTACTTCTGGATATTTCTTATAATGTTATAGTATTCTTTATATTTTTTGATATTTTTCAATTTAATTCTGAGATTCCAGAGAAATTTCATTACCCCCATACTGATTGGAGACATCAAAATATACTCCCTCTGTCCCTTATAACTTTGTCATCTTTCATTTTTTTTTGGTTGACCTAAAAATTTTGCAACTTTCCCTTTTAATCAATTAATTTGTGGTTCCTCTTATTTCTCTCCTCTTCACAAATCACAACTACACAGTTTTTACTTTATTATTCCCTGTGCCGGTCAAACTTAGCAAAGTATTAAGGGACAGAGGGAGTAGAAATGTTGGGATACTGTCACATTTGCTTATAACAGACTAAACTAACTACCTTTAACATTGACTTGGCCTCAGCTACACACTTTCCACGCTTTACAAGTTCCCAGAAGCAGGTAGCATACTGATTTCTTATGTGAGCTGCAAGGAATAAGAAGCCTCTATAAAAAAAGAATTGAAGTTATGACGTTTTTGGCTTTTGCAATGTTTAAACAGAATCATTCAGATGTCGAGCTTACACTCATTTTGTCTCCACATTAGATAAGCTTGAAGAACCACAATCGATCCACAACAAATGACACGTGAATGAAATGATGGTGGAATCCTCAATTCCAGTTGGGGAAAGGTGCACTTCCATTTGGTGACAAATACGGATGTGAAAAAGGACACCATAAGCGAGTATATTTTGCTGCAAAGGATGAATGTGACTCAGACTATGAAAGATTTCAAGCTTAAATGAAAGAAATGGATACAGGATGATATTAAACTATTGTTATAATCCACACCTCTAAAGTTATAAGATTATGCAGATATAGAACAATCAGACTCTCAGTCTCGGATAATACGAACCTAGCTCGCCTCTGATAAAATTTGGTTTCTTTCTTGAATACAAAACTGCAAACATAAAACCACGGCAACACATTGAGTTAGTATGCATGATTGCATGTCTACCGAAGAAAGTAAGGCAAAACCACTGTACCTAAACTCATTGCCGAATCCATATGCAAATGCAATGTCTGGGAACTCCTCTAGGACTGCAGTACCACATGCATTCATCAACTGCAACGCTTTTCGATCATTGGAAGTGTCAAACCTGTGAGCTTCAGAAAACCTATAAAAAGATCACAAAACTTTAACCCCAAACAAACTTGCAGAATTGCGCCATAAACTGTTAGGGACCCGGTAGAATAAGAGTAAATAAGAAATGTAATAGATAGAGTAGTATAAATAGAAGGGGAGTGGGCAATAAAGGGGAGGCTGTTTAGACTTTGAGTCTGGGACTGGGAAGTTGGAGTATTATCTCCTTCTTTGGGACTCTGTACACTGTTCATCTCTGTTAATGAAGTTTAGTGACTTTTACATCTTTCATTCATATTCCTGTGATTTCCTTCTGTGGTTTGTGAGGTCCTAACATCGGTATCAGAGCACGTCTATCTTGGGAAGATGGAAGGACGTGTGACGGATATAGAAAGAAATCTGAGAGAGACAGCAGCTAGGCAAGCTGATATGGCGAAGACGATGGTAGCTATGCAAGCTAGCATAGCGGAAATACAAAACAGACTTCAAAGTCGATCGATGAATCAATCGCACACTTCTGATACGTCACATCAAGAACCGAAGCTTCGAAAGGTACATGGAGATCGATCGAGCAACACCAGGCATCATCGTCTCTGTGACAAGCAGAGTCCGTCGCAATCGCTCACAGATTTGCAGTCGGAGTCGCGAACTACTTCGAAATCTCAGGGCTCGCAATCGCAAACTACACGTCACTGTCCACAGTCGCGATACAGATCGCATGCGTCAAACGCATCGCATCGGGAATCTCATCTTCATCATACGCGAAGGTCAGCGAGTCCAGAGGACTCAGAAGAGCGGAGGCATCGCAGAAAATCTGGCGATCGAACTGTTTCTTCACCAAGCTCTTCACATAGCTCTTCGCAGAGTTCTTCTCATCATTCTTATCTTCGCTCTTCGCATCAGACTATCTCAACGGACATCAGTTCACACTCTAGGAAGACACGATTGAGAGGAGAATCTTCTTCACCAAATGATTCTCACAGTTTGCCATCTTCTTCTAAAGAAGTTTCTCGGAACTCAGCTAATTCAAAAACGGAGAAATTACCTCTATTTTACGAGGATGAAGCGTACAAATGGATAGAAAGGATGGAAAGATATTTCCGAGTCCAAGCTATTGCAGAAAGATTTAAGGGATAATTTGAGTTTGCACCCCACTTTATTGTCGAAATTAGACTTTGCACCCCGTTTTTGAAATCCTTAGTATTTGCACCCTAACCCCGTATGAAAAGACAAGAATGCCCCTCGATCAGAAATATGTTGAAGGCCAACAAAATTGTTAACTGAGGGGCATTTTAGTCTTTTCATACGGGGTTGGGGTGCAAATACTAAAGATTTCAAAAATGGGGTGCAGAGTCTAATTTCAACTATAAAGTGGGGTGCAAACTCAAATTATCCCAAGATTTAAAGTGGACATGGCAGCCAAGGCAATGGGGGATGCAGCAGATGGCTGGTTTCAATGGTGGGACTTTCACAAGAGAGAAGATAGTTGGGAGGCTTTAAAGAAAGATTTGATTAGGGATTTTCCACCTAGACACCGGCAGAAGACAGGGAAGACAGCAAAACCAGAGTCATCGAGGTCGCAAAGAATTTATCGTTCACAAGTTTCTCAATCAGTGCTAGAAATTTACCAGTCCACAAAGAAGACCCAGATGGAACCAAATGAACCTATAATCAAGCAAGTGAATGAGAAAGACAAAATCAAGGAGGAAAGACATGAGGAGGAGGTTGGGCTTGTTTCGGGAGAATCTGCTATCAGTTTTGGAAATCCCAAACAGATTCATGATGCTGACAAGTCTAGTTTCGTTCAGGAGATGAAATGGCTGAATCTTTTAAAATCTGAAATGATATATTGTCATCCATTAAACATTTCTTTGGAAGGGCTGAAATCATTGAACAAGTTTGATAGTTTCAGATATGAGGGTATTACTTCTATGATGGGTAATAAAAAGGGGTGGGAAGGAGAGATTTCTGGGAATGTTACAGAATTTGAGGGATATGTGACTGGTGTGGAAATCGTTAGTGAAGAGGTGAAGCTGAAACAAGGCTTGAAAAGTGAATTGTTTTCTTCTAATGAAGAATCTGTCTACCTTCAAGAAAACCTACTTTGGAAGTTTTGCAGGGATAATAGGCTTTCCTGTTCTTCAGTTGGGGGAAATGCAACTGGAATAGTGGATATCCTTACCTACCTGCTAAAACCTTTGAGGTTTTCCTTCTCAAATAAGTTGGCTACTGAAGATGCTGAAATTTCAAGGAGTGAAGCAAATGAAACTCAAAGATTTGAGTTATAACCTGTAGCAAGAGCTATTAGCACATGGAAGAATGAGAAAGGGATGGTGGGTAAAGATCAGCACCAGCATGATCAAAGACAAGGGCCTAATATTGATGATTGGAAGAAAAAGGAGCTAATGTTGTTTTTGCGAGAAGCAGTGAGAAGGAAGATTCAAGTTAAGAAGTCAAGGATCCTGACATTTGAAAGATATTGGGAAGGAAGGGGTGCAAGGAAGAAGAAGAAGCAGAAGATCTGGGCTGTCTCTTACCGACCACCTTGAGGGCAAGGTGGATGTTTAGGGGGGGAGATATGTTAGGGACCCGGTAGAATAAGAGTAAATAAGAAATGTAATAGATAGAGTAGTATAAATAGAAGGGGAGTGGGCAATAAAGGGGAGGCTGTTTAGACTTTGAGTCTGGGACTGGGAAGTTGGAGTATTATCTCCTTCTTTGGGACTCTGTACACTGTTCATCTCTGTTAATGAAGTTTAGTGACTTTTACATCTTTCATTCATATTCCTGTGATTTCCTTCTGTGGTTTGTGAGGTCCTAACATAAACCAACTGCCAATGACATTGAGCCTCATATACAAATATACAATGAACTATTCAATTGAACACTACGTTCTGTTGATTTATACAGTAGTTAGGGGGTTCGCAATTAGAGTAAGGAGCAGGTAAATAAAGAGAAAATGGAGCTTTATTAATTCAAATGAAATGGGACACAAGGATGGCGGGAAACAAGAAACAACACTCCAACAATAGTTCAATCTTGTCCATGCTGCTATACTTTTAAGTTTTAACCGGAAAAATACTACTTCATGACCTCTTATGCTAGAGGTCTTAATTTTAATACCTATGGTTGTGGCTTTCCTTGTATGTATAATTGTACATCTGTCATTCACTTCCCTTACATACCATTTTATATTTTTGTGCAGCTATCCTTGACTTCCCTTCATAGTGTGTATATTCTGCCATCAGCATACTAACCCCTACCCCCAAGAAAACACACAACACGCACAATTAGGGATGACAATGTGGCTGATTCAGGTAGGTACCCTAAAACCACTACCCGACCCAATTCGGTAGAAACTAGATCCTACACTTTTAAGCTAACCACACGACTCGTTGTGCATACCCAGTCAATATAGATAAACTAAATTATGAATGATAAAATTATTATGATTCATTATCATGCGCTAAACTTGCTAATACCTTGTAGTTTGAAAATTCAAACTAGTGATGACATTTACAACACATTTGTCCTTATCATCACTAGACCGATTGATCTTTTGAACTGAGTGAAATCACAGAAAGAATAGAAAGAATTCCATAAAAGGGAAAATCGCTTTTTTGGTCCCTCAATTAGTCACCATATTATGTCAAACTCGTTTTTCTGAGATTGTAAATATCACCCTCAAATTGACAGATGCGTTATAAATGTCATTCCTGCCGTTTATAATCCATCTCCAATTCTGGACCACCAAAAAATTCACTAGGGATGACATTTACAACACATGGGTCTGACATTTCAATGTGGTGACTAATTGAAGGACAATTGAAGGACCAAAAGTGCGATTTTCCCTCCATTAAACAAACAATATTCATGCATATGCAATACCTTCCAAAGTCACGCCCATCTATGTAAACGACTATGATATTGGGTACCATGACTTCATCTTCAATTTCAAATGACTTCACATACTCGTACTTACTATTCGCCATGCCTACGGGAGTACAAGTTTCTGCTAATTTATTACCATATAGGTGCAACTGCAAAATTCATCATAACATTAGCCGAGAACATAGTATCCACAAGGTAAATATTTTGATAGAATGTTCCCCAAAATAAATGACTTTACAACTCAAACTAAATTTGAGAAACGGTCAATTATAAATTGGGATTTACACCCAAGCTTATAGTCTTGTAAATTTTCTACAATTCTACACATGTAATATTTAAGTATAACAAATAATAGATTGCAAAATGTATGTCTTATAAACTACTAAAAATTCAAAGCAATGGTTTTTTAATTCAAAATAAGTGTTTAATACTCTGTATGCATTTAAACATTTCAACTCTTACGTAATACCCGTGAAAACGGATAAAACCTGTGACCCCTTCCTCAGCAACAACGTAGATGTAAAAACTAAAAAATTATGAAGCTGTTTGGGATAAAAAAGAAAAAATGTAGACAGATCAGAAAAATGTGAAACGATTTAATGGAAACCAAACATTATTTATCTTTTTTTGCGTTTCAAACGCGTTTTAAACACATAATACCTCTGTCCCGGTGAACATTGCCAAGTGCAAAGTAGGTGAGAAATAAGAATAGTAAAAATTGTGTGGTTGAGATTTGTGCAGAGGAGAGAGAAATGTGCTGAACCGCAAATTAGTTGTTTTAATAGGAAAGTGGCAAAGTTTTTTGGGACAACCAAAAGGGGAAAGTTGGCAAAGTCCAATGGGACGGAGGGAGTACCTTTTTTTAGTAAAAAACACGTTTAAAGGAAAGATAAGGTCAGACCATTTAAAAAGAAACAAACACCTGCTTCCCGTTCTTTACAAAAAAAGGGAACAAAACATATATTTTCCGTATTTTCCAAAAAATGGAAACATGAATTGATTGATTAAATTAATGCATTAAATACATAGGAGATCAACAATAGTTTAAAAGAAAATAGGAAAACCTCCTCCCCATGATCTCGTGCTTTTGTATTGTTATAATACAAAATATACCATTATTAAATACTAAAATTAATTGCATGGCGGCTAAAGCTAGCATTTTAAAAGACTAAAACTTAAAATACTACTAGATTTCTGATGATTTTCCAAACAAGCATATTAAACTTAAGGATACTACTAGACTTCTGATGATTTTCCAAACAAGCATATTAAAATTAAGGTTTTTCTAAATGTGTCATTTTTCTAGTATAAACTTTTAGACATAAACAATAACAAATGTAGCAGCTGCACAACTTTATCGTATGTCATCCGTCATCTTGATGAAAATGATGAATTTAGCTTGAGTTTTACTTGATGGTCATATTAAGATGAAGATGCTATCTTGGTCTCATTCTATCGTTATTATGCCTTATTTTTTGACATTAGTTTGCAAAACTATGTCTTGAACTTAATTAGTATTTCTATTTTTGTCATAGAATTATGCAATTACGAATTATTCTTTGATGTATTATTTGATGTAGTAATGAGATTTGCTACTGGAATATGTGTATAATTTTATTTATTTTTACTATATGTTATTTTGTGATGTATATAATTTAAATTTTCAAAATAATACCCGTATTTTTGTCCAAATTTTTGTAACAGATAGCGTATTATGCACGTATACGTATTTACACATTTTTTAAAAGTCAACGCGTTTTCCAACAAATCTTTGACCATTTTTTAATTCATGTTACCGAATAAAACGTGTATTTATTAAACTTCTTTTAATTCCCGTACCGTAATTAACTAACTAGGAACAAAACTGATAGAAAATCATGAAAAAATGAGACGAAGGGTCTGATACAAAATCAAAAACATATGTAAAAAGATTAGAATACTAAAATTACATGAATGTGATGAATATGTTACAAATTAAAAAGATTAAAATACTACGGAGTAAGATTAAAATAAGAAATGTAAAACACTTACCTGCTGCTGGAAGCCGACTGGCTGAGGCTGAGGCTGCAGGCGAGTGGCCGGAATGGGAAACGCTGTCAGCAGCTCGGTCTGTGGGAGACAGGGAGAGTGTGGCGGATTGGTGGACAGAGGCTGAGTGTGGGCGAGGGTGGGCTGTGATCTGGCCGCTTGCTTGGAGCTCAGGGATTGATACCGGAAGTTTAGCTAACTACTCAGGGCCAGTCCTGAAAACATCGAGGCCCAGTTCAACAAAAAAATTGGGGCCTTTCTTACCAAGTTTCAACAACATTAATTTGTCTTAAAATACAAATTAATAATTAACGAGAAAATACATTGGTAATAAATTTATCAAGAGCTCCTTTTTTAGACAAAGTTAACTTTTTGAGTCTTCTTTTCTTTTAAGTTTCTTTAGCCCGGATGAGTATTCCTTTGAAAACATAATTACTAAGGAGTACCAATTATTGAAATTCTCCATTAGTCATGTACAAGATTACAAATTTTAAGTTAAAATTCAGTTTAAAATTCTGGTGAAATCATGAAACCCTTTAATTACAAACGTAATTAACATATTATACCAATTTCTTAATTGTTAAATACAATTAGTATCAATTCAATTACTTAATAACTTCAATAAATGAACAAGTAAATTGAACCTAATTTGCAATTAAAAAGAAAACTCAGAAACTCATATGCTTAGGCCTAGGACTTAGCTTCTTCTTCAAAAAAGGTTCATGACTTAGCTAGTTACCGAGGACTGATGCGGCAAGGGCGCAAGGCAGTGACTTCAATGAAGGGCTGAGGGCCGTGAGTCAGTGATGCGGACAGGCGGTGAACAAGCCGATGAGTCGCTTGAAGTTCTCGCGCGCTACAGCCCTTCTTGGGTTGGAAGCATGGCAACTGGGGTATACTACCATGGAGTATTAATTTTGTTTGGGCCTTCCATATTTTTGAAACTTTTGGGCCTTGTGCAAGTGGACTGGATACACATGACCTGGGCCGGTCCTGTAACTACTGCAGGAAGTCAAGGGTACATAATAGAATTTGGGGAAGTAAAATGGGGAATATTAGGGGTATCCCGATTATGACTTTGGTGGATTTTAAGATCGTGAATTTTGACATTCAAGGAGAATCTACAAGATTGTGGTGGATTGTTTTTGTATATAGAAATCCATCAAAATCCATTAAAATTTGTACAAGTAAGTAACAACAAAAGGACACCCATATTTTCATGGATCCCTCAACAATGATTTTGATGCATTTTAAAAGATCGTGGATTTTATGGAGTTCGATGGAATTCTAGAGATTCTATGAGACTCTTGTAGAATGTTATGGATTTCAATACCATGGAATTATTTGAATTTCAATGGACTTTAATTCCATGCCCTCCTGCCTTCTCCCAATTCTATGAATCGTTGATGCTACGAACGGAATGACTAGGCATCAAACCTCTTGTTGTTACTTGCTCCCAATTCCATATCCCACAATATGAAACCTCTTGCTGTTACTTTCTCCTTCATCGTTCCATAGCAAGAAAGCCCAGTTTTGCCTTGATCGTGAACTTCAGACGGAATTGGTGTTGCAGCTCTACCGCCGGCGAACGTGGAAGCCTGGTCAGATGACTGCTTCAGCGATGGTGGCGGCCAGTGGCCACAGGTTTAGCAACTGCAGCAGACGACTGCTTCAGTGATGTCCGTAGCTCTTTCACCTGATCTCTTTCGTCTTTTCTTTCTGGATTTGAAATCTGAGGTGTACGCATAAGATTTCTACTAGAATGTTTTCTACGTATAATTCCACTAGAATCCTTTAAAATCAATCTAAACAAAAAGTAATTGAGATCCATGAAATGTTTGAGTACACCAATATTGTCATAAACTCCACAAAAATCCAAATTGAGGACACCTAAACTTTGATGGAATTCTAAATTCCTTTAAAATCAACAAGAATCCATATTGGGGACACCCCCTAAATAGGGGAACCGAATTCCATCAAAGTTTAGGTGTGCTCAATTTGGATTTTTTTGGAGTCTATGACAATATTGGTGTCCTCAAACATTTCATGGATTTCAATTACTTTTTATTTAGATGGATTTTAAAGGATTCTAGTGGAATTATACATAGAAAACATTCTACTAGAAATCTTATGCCTACACCTCGGATTTCAAATCCAGAAAGAAAAGATGAAAGAGATTGGGTGGAAGAGCTACGGACATCACTGAAGCAGTCATCTGCTGCAGTTGCTGAACCTGTGGCCACTGTCCGCCACCATCGCTGAAGCAGTCATTTGACCAGGCTTCCACGTTCGCCGGCGGCAGAGCTGCAACACCAATTCCGTCTGAAGTTCATGGTCAAGGCAGAGCTGGGCTTTCTTGCTATGGAATGATGAAGGAGAAAGTAGCAGCTAGAGGTTTCATATTGTGGGATATGGAATTGAGAGCAAGTAGCAGGAAGAGGTTTGATGCCTAGTCATTCCGTCGTAGCAGCAACGATTCATAGAATTGGGATAAAGCAGGAGGGTATGGAATTAAAGTCCATTGAAATTCAAATAATTCCATGTTATTGAAATCCATAACATTCTACAAAGGTCTCGTAGAATCTCTAGAATTCCATTGAACTCCATTAGATCTATAAAAATGAAAATACAGTTGCTAAACTAGAATACAACTATACAAAATTACAAACTACCGGAGTATTATAGGAATCAAATAAGTTATGAGACTATTCGAATTGCAAAATTAAAATATAAATACAAATAAGAATATTAAATTTGATTCTAATGGTCATTACCGGACCGTGAGACCCCTAAACTGGACGGCCTTAGTTATAGTTAATTCTCCTTCATTATGTTAATTGTACCGGAAGTGGCATTGGTTTCGTACACCGCTCTGCGTGACTGCGTCTGTGTGAGTGTGCAGGCACCTTGGGGGATGGCCGTATGGGGATTTCAGCGCTTCACTCGTGCCCCATCAGGAATTCTGTCGTTGTGGAACTGCTTTCTCCTTAGCTTGGGTTTGGGACGGCCCATATTTTATTTTGACATAGTCCAATTTTAATTTTTACATAGTACTCCCCCTCTGTCCCATTAATAATGTCATAAGAAAGAGTGACACGTAAATTAATAAAAAGTAGTGTATATGGTTGATATTGAATTAATAAAATAAGAATAAAGTAAGAATGATCTAAAGTCACACAAACTTTACCAAATTTGGTATGAGACAATCTTAGTGGGATTGATAAAAAAATGTAAAATGGGATAATCTTAGCGAGACGGAAGGAGTAAGATACTATGTAGTATTATTTAGATCTTACTTTGTATCTTAGGATGTTTTTACTTGGACTGTAATTTGATGATCCGACCTGTTTGTTTAAGTCTGGTCTGGTCTAGTCTAGTCTAGTCTGATAAACGTCTGGTCTTTGTGTTTTTATAATTACAGAAATCATGTCTGGTTTGGTCTGTTTAAGTCTGGTCTGGCCTGGTCTGTTTAAGTCTGGTTTGTCTGGTCTGGTCTGATCTGGGTCTGAAAACAGTCCAAGTAAAAACATCCTTACACGAAAAAATTATGAAAACATTTAATGCTATCATAGAAATTATTAGTTTTTTATTATATTTGAAATTATATTAATATGCATGTTGTTAGTGTGTTACATGTGTAATAAGGAGGGGTACTAGAGAGAGTGACACGCAAATTAATAAAAAGTAGTAAGGATGTTTATAACGCAATAATTTCTATTACATACTACGTATGTAACACACACATATGTATATAACGCAAATTATATATATTAATATTGTCAAATTTACTATTTTTAAATTGGTTTAAGAGAATGTTATTATATTTAACAAAAAGTATTTTATTAGGTCAATCAAACATATGTAAATAATTTTGTTTAACGACTCATTGTTAAAAGCATGCATAATATTATATAATAATACCATGTAACTTCGTCTAATAATCGTAACTTTGTTTAAAAACATTTTTATAAATTAAAAAATGGCTTTCCAACTTAAAATGAAATTTAGTGGTATAATTAGTCTTGTGGTACTTAGACTATTTACATGTGGTGGCCTAAACAACCCTTAAAGCATGCCCAAAATGATAACAATAAAGGCATATGCAAAAAATCCAAACCCAAATATGTACTTGGTTGAATTGATAAATGAATACAGATGTTATTTTCAACTGTGAACTGTCACATACTTTCCTCTTGTATATCATTACTACTTTCGTTAGAGGGTTTTTCTTCTAGAAATCTCACATTTGTCTCGATGCTTATCGACAATTTTCCTTCTCTCATCATTATATCATTCGTATGAGTGAATAACTTACTGATATTTTAATCGAATTAAACCATGTTGAGGTGCGAGATGATAGCTGGTACAAGGCCTCTAAAAATTATCGACATCCGTGGCTGTATTTTGGTGTTTCAAAGAATGTATTGAATAAAACAAACCAAGGTTTAGTATATTTACTACATCTGGAGAAACCAAGGTTTATATTAAACCCCTCACACTTGGATGCAACCATATATTTTGTAAATGAAGCTAACATGTATGAACTTGCATTATCTTGTTGGAGCATAATGTCCTACTTTAGTGTTGTGGCCATTTTGTCTTGCTAATTGGTATGACTATGTTGATTAGCATGCCTCATGCTTTCTATAGACTTTGCGTTTATGACCACCGCTTCTCTGTTTTTGCTTCTCGAATTACTTCTCGAAATTCTGAAAAGCATATCTCCTCCCATTACGTTCTTGGAGACCCAACGTAGTTATGAACCTTGACTTGCAAATCTATGTTTTAATACTTTCAAACTCTATTGAACATCTATCAAATCAAAAAATTTACCTTTTAAATCTGGGCAGTCAATTTTTAACCCCTCTACAACTAAAGGGTATTGTATAAAACTCAAACAATTTTCTACTTGTTTAAAAAGCATATAAACTTTTGTAATCATGTCCTTCATCATCACGCGTCTTACATCTAATCGTAGACGACTAAAGTATCAGAAATTTTACTTATAAAAAGTGCTAAAAGAATCCGCTCGCATCAACCAACAGTCAAATGTTGATTGCCGACGTCCAATTGTCATTTCACGCACCTTGTTTCATGAATCAAATAATAATCATTTTCCGATAATACCAGTCTGAAGTTAGAGATGGACAACTCCCCCAAACTATAATCTCCACATGATACAAAGAAGAAAAGCTTCACTTTTTAGGTACCAACAGAAAAAAACTTCATTGTGTAGCTATGGAACCCCTTATTTATATCAACAGATTCTGTAATCATATCGTCCCACCACCCCGTGATGACAACTGAAAAGGTTACTCAGTAAGTCAGTAGTTTCCAAAAAACTTTCCAGCTCAATTAATTTCGCAATATTCCATAGTGGTACAACAGTTAAACAAATAGTATGTTTCAGCCAAACACATCCTATAATCAAAATGCTGCCCATCCTGATGCTGATGTTGTTGCTGCTTTACTGGAACATGGTCGACTTTCAGATGGCAGGCTCTTCTGCAGGTTCCAAAAGATTAAACTGACGTGTTAATTTCTATGATATGAGATACACATATGCATTTATTAAGTTCAAGAAATGTAGAATTGGATTGAAATTAACATTGCTTATAAAACAAGCATAAAATAAATAAATAAACTAGAGTTACAAGGCTCATTCTGTTATATCTGCAAGTCTGCAACCCTGATCAATGGGGAAAAGGCGGTCCAATAAAAGAGGGATTTCAAATTTGTTGATGTCATAAGAAAAGCTCTAAGTGTTAAAACAATTGTAATGAGATTTCTCTAGGGTTCTTTTGGAATCTAGAAAATGCTAGAGACAGAAAATGTGGAGGAAAAATAAAAGGGGAATTTCAAAGGAAAGAAAA